GTTCCAAATTGCTAGCCCTGCTCTGATTCTCTTGAATTCTTTGATTGGGTTATTGTGGAGAGCGAGGGATCGGTGTTGTATCTCTGGTTGGGAATCTTGGATTGCAGAGTCGCACTATGCAAGCCAAAGAAAGTCCATTGCCTCCGGATGTGCTTCGGAAACTGTTGGCTTCAAATCAGAATCCAGGAAACTAAGAGAAGTGACTGAATGAGAAAATGAAGACTACAAAGGTTTCAGATACAGAGTAAGTTTTAACATGCAGGTCTAGTTAAATAGACATGCTTAATCATCACCCTATATTATAATACACACACAGACATATATATATATATATATATATATAGATTATATAGTTTAGTTATAAAGTATGTTAATTACCAACACATGTATGGTCCATTAATTCCCATCTAGAAATAATTTATATAAAGCTATACTGTACATGAAGATTGGGTGGAGCAGGCCGACCTCCCAGCATCATTGTGGTCGAATCTCATCATACATGTGTGAAACTGAGGCCATAATTAAATCAGTGACTGGAATGGTGTGTGTGCAGCTTCTTCTATGTCTTCCCACCATGACCCAAAGTTGTACAAATTAATATATATATATATATATATATATATATATATATATATATATATATAAAGAAATTCAGATGGAAAGGATAACCAAAACCATCTTTGGACGGGTGTCCCTGTGTGTGAGAGCATGGAAATGAAACCAGGGATTACATGGTTTTGGCCAATCATAACCTGACATTGATAAATTTATTTGTGTTTCAGGTTCTGATTGGTCAGGACTACATAGTGCCGGACAAAGTATCAATAGATAAGTAGACATTGATTAGATAAGTTGGAGGAAACAATAAGAGTGAAGGCATAGTGACTACTACAGCAACATAGGAACTTGGGTGTAAATGCAAATTAAAAAAAAAAAATGTAGAGAAAGAAAAAAAAAAAAAAAAATATATATATATATATATATAGAAATATGAATACTATATATAGAAATGAGGGATATAATATAAATAGGGAAGAGAAATATGAATATAATGAGTAATATATATATATATATGTGTGTGTGTGTGTGTGTGTGTGTGTGTGTGTGTATTATATATAGAGTATTTATAGAAATAAAATTAATTAAATAAGGTTATTATATATATTATATATAGAAATGAGAGAGAAAATGAGTAAAGGGTAGTTTGGTTATTATATATATTATATATTTAGAAATTAATTATTTAGAGAGGAGAGAATAACAAAATTTAAAAATTAATTTTATGTTTCCAAAAAACCCCCCTATATTTTTAAAAGTGTGCAAAAAACCCCCTGTGGGCATTTTGGGTAGCACAAAAGGGTAGTTATGGTATTAAAGGCTGACTTTTGATCACATGCCAATTTTCTTGGTTAGAAGCCCTTATTTGCAACTTTTTGAAACTAGAGGGGTCATATTTGAACAACAGGGGTGTTATTTGCATATTTTTAAAAATAGAGGTTGCACTTACCCCAGGTTTGTTATATATGATAGAATTTTAAAGAAAATAAAATAGATAATTTGTAGTAGAGTTTTATAGAAATTAATTTATTTTCTGTAAAAATATTCATTATAAATAGATAAATACAAATTATATGTGATAAAGTTTTATAGAAAATAAAATAGCTAATTTGTGGTAAAGTCTTTTAAAAATTCTTTTTATATGAATTAATAAATATTTTAATATATTAATAATTATTGTCTAATTAGATTACCTTTTATTAAAAAAACTCATAATAAAAGGTAATTTGTAGTAGAGTTTTAAGAAAATTATTTTATTTTTTATATCAATTAAAAAATATTTTTTATATTAATAGTTCTTGTCTAATTAGATTTTCATATGTTAAAAAATTTATATTAAATAAATAAATAGGCAATTTGTGTTAGAGTTTAACATAAACTCTTTTGAAAACTCTTTTTATATCAATTAATAAAGATTTTTTATATTAATAATTCTTGTCTAATTAGATTTCCTTTTATTAAAAAACTCATAATAAATAGATAATTAAGTATTTTGTGTTAGAGTTTTATAGAAACTCTTTTAAAACCTTTTTTATATATCAATTAATAAATAATTTTTTTTATATGAATAGTAGTTGTCTAATTAGATTTTCTTTTATTAAAAAACTCATAATAAATAGATTAATAGGTAAGTTGTGTTAGAGTTGTATAGAAACTCTTTAAATATATCTTTGTCTAGTGTGATGAAATTTTATTGAAAATTAAATAAGTAATTTGTGATAGTGTTTTATAGAAATTATTTTATTTTCTTTAAATATATCCTTGTCTAATTAGATTTATTTTTATTAAGAAACTCATAATAAAAGCTACTTTGTGGTAGAGTTTTAGAAAAATTATTTTATTTTATTTTATATATCAATTAATAAATATTTTTTATATTAATAATTCTTGTCTAAATAGATTTTATTTTTTAAAAAATTCATAATAAAAATTAGATAAATAGAATTTTATTAGGTAGATTTTAGAGTTTTATAAAGTATATTTTTTTAAATAAAAACTATTTTCATATCAATTAATAAATATTTTTTATTTAAATAAATAAATAATGAAACACTTAAACTCTTTGCATATTTTATAATAGTATAGATATAGATAAAAACTCTTTTTCAATTAATATAAATAAATAAATATTGAAATATTAAAACTCATTGCACATTTAATAATTGTATAAATATAGATAAAAACTCTTTATCAATTAATAAATATTTTTTATATAAATAAATAAATATTGATAGACCTAAAAATATAGATAAAAACTCTTTTTATATCAGTTAATAAATATTTTTATATAAATAAATACTGAGACTCTTTGGCACAGTTTCTGTATTTTACCCTAAAATTATGGATTTCAGAATTCTCAATTTATGTGTCCCTTCCTCTTTCTTCCATGCCTTTATTTATAGGCTTCTTGGATTAATAGGATGATGACATGTGTCCTCTCTTGATAATGACATAATCATAATTGGGCTGGGCCGGTTATATTGTGATAATGAAATACTGAAACACTGAATCTCTTTGCATATTTAATAATAGTATATAGATATAAAAATTAATAAATAAAAACTGAAGTACTGAAACTCTTTGCACATTTAATAATAGTATAGATTTATATACATGTTAGAATAGAGCCTGTGATCCAGCAAATTGATACTTCTCATAAATTACATTCCTTCTCAAGTAAAGGTAAGAGAAACACGAAGAAAGTTCAAAGAAACTGTCCCGTCGGTGAAGGTCTTGGAAAAACATGCAACGTAATTGATCACTATCACAATCAAAGTTTAATTGGTATTGATCGAGGAAGCTAAAAGGTAGACCCCGAGATTCATAAATGTAAACTTTGACAAATTGTGCATGACATATCAATTCAAAGACTTTGAAGTCACTGAACTCGGTGCATGCATTTAAAGTTTACACATTTATATAAACACACACCCCTCACTATATGTCTTTCAACAATATTAGTAGTAATATTTGAATAGAATGGCAAATCTTGTGTTGCTCTCTTTTTATCTTTTCATTATCATCTCAACACTTCCATGCCGAGGGAACTCTATTCCTTACCCCCCTAATTGTTATAGAAATCCGGCCTGCCCTCCCATCACGTCATCGTCCTCACACGCAAAACCTAGTAACAATGATTTTAGCAAAAGAGTTGATGGCGGGGGAAATCGGAAATGATCGTGGCACTGTCGACGGGATAAGTCTGTGTGTTATAGCTAAGTTTTTAGCTAGACAAGTGTATGGTCCATGGCCTCCTTGGTAATGTTAATTTGTGTTGCTGTATCTATGTACTTAATTTGTCTATTGAAATAATTAAGAACTTTGTGTTTTAAGAATTGCTAGGTCCATAACATATTGTTAGAAATTAAACTTTATTTTATTTTTAAAATGTCTTTGAAGGTCATGGATGTTTTTTTATTTGGTATTTTATATTTATGTGAGTTTTTTATTGGAGTTAGTGGGGGGCATGAGAGTTACAACTAGTAAATGGCCATGTTAGTGGGACTTTTGCCTACTAAATGGTCATATTAGTGGGTTAGTGGGAGTTTTGCTTACTAAATGATATGTTAGTGGGGTGTTAATTTTCATTTACATTTATGTTTTGAAGCCTATATAAACCCATGCATTGTACTCATTTTCAATTAAGTGAAATAAAAAAGCGTTTTCCTCCATTTTTATTCTCTTCCAAATAGTAGTGTTGTGTGTATAACTAGGCCATTATTTCCAACAAAGTGGTATCAGAGCTAGTTTGTGAGAGAGAGAAGAAATGACAAACAATTCGGTTCCATTTCAAATGCCTCGATTCACCAAAGATAACTATGAAAATTGGTGTATCCGTATGAAGGCAATTTTGGGAGCATAAAATGTGTGGGAAGTTGTTTCCAAAGGTTATGATGAGCTAGAAGATGAGGCAACTTTGTCTCAAACTGAAAAAGATGTTTTGCAAGCCATGAAAAGGAAGGACTAAAAGGCGGTGATGACCATTCATTAATGTTTGGATGATGGAATGCTACAAAGAGTTGCTAGTGCAGAAAATGCAAAGCAACTATGGGAGATTCTTCAAAATTCTTTTTGAGGAGTTGATAAAGTGAAGAAGGGTCGCCTCTAAATGTTATGGGGCGAATTTGAAGAATTGCATATGAAGGAATCTAAATCAATTTCAGATTATTTTTTGAGGGTCCTGGCTATTGTAAATCAACTAAGAAGATATGGCGAAACCACCATGACTGATACAAGGGTCGTTGAAAAGATCCTTCGGTCGTTGGATTCCAAATTCAACTACATTGTTGTAGCCATTGAAAAGTCAAATGATTTGGATTCCATGACTGTTGATCAACTCATGGGTTCGTTTCAAGCTCATGAAGAAAAGGTGGTGAAGAAACAAGAAGTTTTGGAGCAAATGCTACAAACAAAGTTTTCGTTAAATGAAAGAGACGAAAAACATGGAGGAAATCAAAGGGGCCAAGGACGTGGAAATGCACGTGGCCGAGGAAGAGGATGAAGCTGTGGAAGAGGAGAAAGAAACGGTCAACACACAACCAACAATGAAGAAAAAATCCATGACTCACAACAAATAAGAGGTCGTGGTAGAGGAAATTACTCAAGGTCATATGGAAGGAGGTATGATAAGTCTCAAATTCAATGTTACAATTGTCAAAAGTATGGTCATTATGCTTCGGAATGTAGAAATGTTGCTAACAATGTTGAAGAAAAGGCTAATTATGTTGCTGAAGAAGTGGAGTCTACTTTGTTGTTGGCATACAAAGGTGAAAGGAGTGATCAAGAAGATATGTGGTATCTTGACACTGGTGCTAGCAACCATATGTGTGGTAGCAAAGAGAAGTTCGTTGATATTGATGAATCAATAAATGGCAAGGTGACATTTAGAGACTTATCACAAATTCTGGTAAGAGGGAAAGGTAAAATATTGATTCGTTTAAGGAATGGGCATCATCAATTTATCTCTAATGTTTATTATGTGCCTAATATGAAGAACAATATTTTGAGTTTGGGACAACTCTTAGAAAAAGGCTACAATATTTCTATGAAGGATTGTAGTCTTTCGATAAGAGACCCATTGGATAATTTGATTGCCAAGGTTCTAATGACAAAGAACCGGATGTTTTTGCTAAATATTCAAGCTGACGAGGCTAAATGTTTGAAGGCTTATGTTAATGATTTAACTTAGCTTTGGCACTTGAGACTTAGGCACTTGAATTTTGGAGGATTAGAGTTGTTGGCCAAAAAGAAGATGGTGAAGGGATTGCCTTTCATTAGCAATCTAAATCAATTATGTGAAGCATGTCTCGTTGGAAAGTAATCAAGGAAAAGTTTTCCTAAAGAAGCTACCACAAGAGCTATGGCGCCACTACAACTTATCCATTTGGATGTTTATGGTCCAATTTCTCCATCATCATTTAGTACGAATAATTATTTTTTATTATTCATTGATAATTTTAGCCGAAAAACATGGGTGTATTTTCTTAAACAAAAATCGGAGGTGTATGGAATTTTTAAGAAATTTAAAGCACTTGTTGAAAAACAAAGTGGCTATGATGTAAAGGCTCTTCGATCCGAAAGAGGTGGTGAATTTACATCAAATAATTTCAAAAAAATTTGTGAAGAAAATGGAATTCACCATCCTTTAACGGTTCCGAGATCGGCCCAACAAAATGGAGTTGCAGAAAGGAAGAACAGAACCATTCTCAATATAGCTCGAAGAATGTTGAAAAGTAAGGAAATGCCTAAAGAATTTTGGGCTGAAGCGGTTGATTGTGTGGTGTACTTGTCCAACTGGTGTCCTACTAGAAGTGTGCAAAACAAAACACCACAAGAAACATGGAGCGGAAGAAAGCCAAGTGTCTCTCATTTGCGGGTTTTTGGGAGCATTGCCCATGTGCACGTGCCGGATGAAAGGAGGACCAAGTTAGACAACAAAAGTGAAAAAATGGTGTTCATTGGCTATGATGCAAGTTCCAAAGGCTACAAGTTGTACAATCCAAGTAATGGGAAGATTGTCATTAGTAGAGATGTTGAATTTGAAGAGGGAGCCACTTGGGATTGGAACACTCCAAATGAAGATTATAATATTTTTCCAATTTCTGATAAGGAGCAAGAAAATGAAGGCATGGAGTAGCCCATTTCTCCACCAACATCACCTCCACCACCATCAATTCAAGATCAATCAACTCCATCATCATCAAGTTCAAGTGACACACCACCATTTCGCATAAGGAGTCTCCGTGACATATATGACGAAACAGATGAGGTAACAGAAATGTTAGGTGATCTAACACTTTTGTGTCTCTTTGCGGATTGTGAATCCGTAGGATTTGAAGAGGCGGCACAAGACAAAAAATAGAGAAATGCTATGGATGAAGAAATTAAATCCATAGAGAAGAATGACACGTGGGAGCTTGCTACACTTACAAAAGAGCAAAAGGCAATTGGTGTCAAATGGGTGTATAAAGCAAAGAAGAATGCAAATGGTGAAGTTAAAAAATATAAAGCAAGATTGGTTGCCAAGGGGTACAACCAAAAGTCCGGGATTAACTATGATGAGGTATTTGCACCCATAGCTCGTTTAGAAACAATTAGATTGTTAATTTCTATTGTAGCCTAGAACAATTGGAAAATCCACCAAATGGATGTGAAATCGGCTTTCTTGAATGGGTTTCTTGAAGAAGAGGTGTATGTTCAACAACCCATGGGCTATGTTGTAAAGGGGCAAGAAAACAGAGTCTTGAAATTGAAGAAGGCTTTATATGGCTTGAAGCAAGCACCAAGGGCGTGGAATAAGCGAATTGACAAATATTTTCAAGAGAACAATTTTTCAAAGTGCCCATATGAACATGCTCTTTATTCCAAAGTAAGTGAGAATGGAGATGTATTTTTTGTTTGCTTGTATGTGGATGATTTAATCTTCACAGGTAGTAATCCAAAAATGTTTGAAGATTTCAAGAAGGTTATGGCTCGAGAGTTCGAGATGACAGATATTGGCATCATGATCTTGGCATTGAGGTCAAGCAAATGAAGGATGGAATGTTCATTCACCAAGAAGGTTATGCTAAGGAAATTTTCAAGAAATTCAAGATGGAAGATTGTAAATTGGTGAACACGCCCATGGAAGTTGGAATTAAATTGTCAAGAGATGAAGATAGAAAGACGGTGGATCCAACATTTTTATAAAGTCTTGTTGGAAGCTTGAGATACTTAACATACACAAGGCCGGACATATTATTTGCGGTTGGGCTTGTTAGTCGGTTTATGGAAAGACCCACCATAACTCATTTCAAGGCGGCTAAGAGGATTCTTCGTTACATCCAAGGTACCCTTGATTTTAGGTTATTCTATTCATTTACTAATGATTTCAAGCTTGTGGGTTATTTTGATAGTGATTGGGCCGGAGATTTGGATGATAGAAAAAGTACTTCTGGCTATTGTGTTTTCATGGGAAATGTTGCTTTTACATGGTGTTCAAAGAAGCAACCCATTGTCACCCTCTCAACTTGTGAAATAGAATATGTTGCAGCCATTTCATGTGTTTGTCAAGCAATTTGGTTGAGGAATTTGTTGAAGGAATTACACATGCTACAAGAAGAGTCAACGGAGATTTTTGTGGACAACAAATCAGCAATTGCTTTGGCCAAGAATCCGGTGTTTCATGAACGAATCAAGCATATTGATACAAGATTTCATTTCATTAGAGAATGCATAACCAAGAAGGAGGTGGAACTCAAGTTTATCAAGTCACAAGATCAAGTTGCGGATATTTTCACCAAGCCCCTCAAGTTTGCAGATTTTTACAAGTTAAGGAGTTTGCTTGGAGTTGAAAAAAAATCAAGTTTAAGGGGGGGGGGGGGGTGTTAGAAATTAAACTTTATTTTACTTTTAAAATGTCTTTGAAGGTCATGGATGTTTTTTTATTTGGTATTTTATATTTATGTAAGTTTTTTATTGGAGTTAGTGGGGGGCATGAGAGTTACAACTAGTAAATGGTCATGTTAGTGGGTTAGTGGGAGTTTTACCTACTAAATGGTCGTGTTAGTGGGTTAGTGGAAGTTTTGCCTACTAAATGATATGTTAGTGGGGTGTTAATTTTCATTTACATTTATGTTTTGAAGCCTATATAAACCCATGCATTGTACTCATTTTCAATCAAGTGAAATAAAAAGTGTTTTCCTCCATTTTTATTCTCTTCCAAATAGTATAGTGTCGTGTATGTAACTAGGCCACTATTTCCAACACATATAGGCTAGCTATATTATAAAATGGATAGAAGCACGATGCGATAAAGTTTTAAATCTGATTTAAGTGGCTTATTTTCACAGGACTCTTATGTTAAATGGTTTTATTTATTCATTTATTTTGGTTGTTGGTATGATTGTGCGGGAATGTCTATTGTGTGAAGGGGTTGTATGTCGCTATAAGAGTGACTGTTGTAGGTCGTAGAAAGAGAATCTTCCTATAACAGATGGGTCGTTTAGAGTGTCTTTTGAAAATCTCTATTTTGAAAAATGTTGTAATTAGAGATGAAGACTGTGATTGCATGGGAGTGCCTATTTCCTTAATTTGACATTCATCTAAGAAAAACGTAATAGCAGATGGATCATGCAGTTAATAATACTAAAAGTTTATAAAAATTAAGGTTTGTTGAAATCAAGTAGTTAGAACAAAATGAACAAATTATGGTATACTTGTGAATAATGAGATAATAGAATTGGGCTATTGTATGGAGTATATTGAAAAAAAGTGTTTTGCACCATTTCATGTCACACGCAGCCCAAGTATAAATGTGGAGTAGTAGAGTAATTTTATAGAGTAAAAATGTAATTTTGCATTCAAATCTCTTCAATTCTTTAGCTTTAAGAATTCTTTCTAATTCATGAATCATTTAATAAGTCAGTGGGCCACTAATTTTTTATTTTATTTTTTAGTATTAAATCTTAATATTTTATTTATTTTAATATATATATATATATATAAAATTACAGTATTACTTTCCTTGAAATTACTAAGAAAATTACACCTATCGCCCTAATCACACATTTTTTGAGTCCGTACTGCATAGTGTTCAAAACTATGCATGTGGACAAGAGATCTCCAAGCTGAAAATTTTCAAAAAAATAACGTAATTAATAATCGTCACTGAAAATCTTTTTGAGACGTTAGTTACGACTTTTTTCAAATCTTCTTTTTATTTTTTCTCTAAAATTAGGATACTGTCAAATTTTGATTGGACCAATAGCTGTAAGATGCTGAGAAATTTTACATGTCATATCAATTCAAGAGTGAGTATACAAGCAAGTTGTTAATTAGTTTGTCACCTTGGATAATGGCCAAATTATTGAAGATATGGAGAAAATAAAATTTTAGGATGTCAATCAGAATTTGCTAGGTCACTCACCCCGTTCTACACCCCACATTAATGACTTATTACTATTCATTACCAAGCAAGTACCTCCTAATCGACATTCTTGCCTTGAAGAAATGCCAACCCAAATGGAGATTCAGAGCTGCATGCATGATGAAGTTAAACAAGGACAAAGCACCAAGTCCTTATGGATATAATGCCCTATTATTTTTTCAAAGTGCTTGGGGAATAGTTGGTAGGTCAGTCACAAATGCCATTTCAGAGTTCTTTAGGAATGTCAAGCTTCTAGTAAAGACAAACAACACCTACATATCATTGGCTCCTAAATATCAGAATTCAAACTCACTTCATGATTACAAGCTTTTCTCGTGCCAACACCATTTACAAGTGCATTTCCAAATTGCTTGCAAGCAAGTTACAAGCAACACTGCCTCACACTTATAAATGATGAAATTCAACAAAAAATAAAATTATCACAAAAATGAAATTCAACACTTCTAAATAATGAGATCGCCTCCAAAAGTACCATGTACAAATACTTATTTGGACTATAGTACGGAAAATAATGTAAAAGTTCTTTTCTAATTAGAACTACACCATTTCATTTTAAACACCATTTCATTTTATTTGGACTATAGTACCATGTACAAATACTTAGATAGTTCTGGACCGTTAACAACATTTGGTGGACTAGTTCAATTTTTGTAAAGATTATTAATATTTTTTAATTTCTCACTACTTTAAATCGATTCTCACAATAGTAAATTAAAGGATTAAGAACAAAAAACACCCTCGTAATATGGGTTTTGTGCACA